TTTGATATTTTCGCATATTTTCCACATTAAAAAGTCTAGAGCATTTTATCCAGTAAAGGTTTTCAAAGCAGAAATATTTAAATAGTTTCAGGGTTGGATTGATGGACTTGCATGTTACTGCCGGTATTGATTCCAAATCAGTTTTTGGATTTTGCGCTATTTTTGGCTCTTTGACTGTAGCATTTTTGTTAACTTTATTTTTTCGGGTCGCTTTTTGTGTTAGAAAATGGAAGTATTCTGTTTTTCACTGGAGGATTAAAGTGATTTGCGAGGTGTAGTCGCGCTCTACGGTTTAATGAATTTAATTGGAAATTTTCATCAGAGCAAGTCATTTGATCTCTCCTGTATATTGATATGACTTGAATCTCATATTGTCTGTATGTCTCAGGTCTCTTTATTTCTTTTCATCCCAATGCTTCCATTTTCAAAAGGTTTAGACCGCTGGAGCAGGCATCGATTTGTATTGGATCGAGCATCCCTCAAATGTACATTTTTGGGATGTTTGGTCCAGTATTGAGAAATAAACTTTATTTAAAAAGTTATGGTTGGTAATGGTTTCACTGGATAGTTCTGGGTTGATGAGTAGTTGAGGGAATGAAGCACAGAAAGATTGTCTTTTTGTGCATTATTACCTTAGTTACACATCATTCTAGAAATGGACGGTGACGGTGTTACTAACTTTCTGGAAAATTGTTAACTTTTTGGGAAATCTAGTCTGCGGTTTGGCCAACCCTTGCCCTCTTCATACTAATTTGCTCATTTTTTCTCTTCTCAAGACATTTTCAAAGTAGATTTTTCTACATTAATCATTGATTGTTCTTGCATCTTTTGTAACCAAGTAATTATTGACTTACTTTCTGAATGCATCAGGAACAGCTCACCATCATTTAATATAACTTAAGTTTAGTGAGTGCTTGTTAATAGTTGTAATTTGAAATGTTTAGGTACGCAATCCCTGATTTCCTGTTTTGGAGTTTCTCTCTGTCTTGTACTCCTTAGGCATTATTAGTTCGTGTTGCTACAGGATGGGGTATTAAACCGGGCTCAAACTTTCCAATTTTCCGAATATTTACTTCATGAAATTCAGGGCAATCAAGTCTGTGGCATGCCAGCAGATTTATTTGTAGTTGGATGTCAGTAATCGGTTGTTGGTAGCTGATGTGATGAGAATGAGGTGCCTTTGCTGGCGAAAAACCAATGATGTTTAACCAATTATCTCCATTAGGTCCTTCGAGGTGTTCACCGATTACAATTGCCAGTCTTCTGTATAGCATTTAGTGTAATAGTAAACAGCCCAGTTTTTTGTATTCGTTATGATTTATTGTATTTTCTTTCAAGTTCGCTTCTCAATTTACTTGATCTGCAGTCTTTGTTGTATACTTCTTAACTTTTTGCCTTCTTAGACCTTCATTTTCTCGTCCACTTGTATCATAGCAACTTCCCCTTTTGCTTAAAAGAGTGCTCCATAAAAGCAATATAACATTAAGTTTTTACTGAATAAAAGAAATCATTGTTTTGGTGTCCCCACGTTCCACTGATTAAACGGGTTTGAAATTGTTAAAGCGAAGTAGGTAAGTTTGGATATTTGGTAGGAGACTACAATTGAGTGCATTTTGGCTTATGTCACGAGTATTAAATTTTGAAGACAACCGAAAATGTCTGTTGAAGAGTGTTGCCACTTGTTGGAGCGTCACTGTGCAGTGCAGATGGTGATTTCTGAATATAATTTATTAGAATTTGGCTGGGGGAAAGAATATTCCTTAGCTAAATACATTTCCGACTTGTCAGTGCATAGTGTTGGCATCTTCTTCGTCTTCTTGTTCGACTCCTCCAATATGAATTTTTTCAAACACTGGAGCCGTTGGTAATTCCGTTGCAACAGTTGAAAGAACTTCCTTCTCTCTCACAGTCAAGCTTGCTAGTTTCGCGGCATTTCTTCTTTCTGCTTGAGCGAGCTAAATTAGACTTCTGTTTACCACTGCAAAAACTTTGGCGCACTAAAGTAGAAGTTTAAACACATAGCTTAGAGTACCTTCTCATTCTGCATTTTTTCAACCATGGGTAAATAAACCTCACTGTACTCTTTGGCACAACTTTTCGTTTGAAGAAGGAATTCTTCTAAACCCTCGCCGGTCAACGACGAAACTAAAGAACGGGGTTTACTTGGCAGGTGTCTGACATATTTCTTGATGCATCTGTTATCGCCCGTAGCTTAGATGCACATAAAAAATGAAGGTAAGGAGATGAGAGAAAGTAGATTACCAGTAACTGAAGAGAACTTTTCGTAGAATTCGTCAAGCACCAAACTAAGCGATCTGATCAGATCGTTCATAAATGATGACTTGTTGTCGTTTAAAGCATCTTGAAAGCTTTCAAAATCCTTCATCCATTTCGTAATGAACGTTGGTTTCACTATATCCGCCTTAAATGTTGGAGGTGGCGTGACGGTTAAAAAAAAAATTACATTGGTGACATATAGGACCAGCGGGGTTCGAACTCAAACATTTCACAAATTATGCTTCATTTCTGCATCTCCAATAAAAACATAGTTCCAAAAAATCTACTCACTTTGTTGAGGACGATGACAAATGGAAGTTTTGTCCTGTAAAGGATCGAGCAGGCATAAAGCATGTTTGACATGAACGTTGTTGGGTTTGCGGCCCTGACGGAGTCTAGAATATAAGCAATCATAGTCGGCCGCGATGAGGCTAGTAGATCGGTTATAATCGAGCCTGATGCCGACCAGGTAAAAGCTTCAATTTGCCCAGGAGTGTCGATTATGAAATACGGACAAACACTTTCCCTCTTTGCTATCAATTCCAAAACCTAAAGATTGCTTTGGATAAAGCTGCAGTATTATTCACGCGCTCAGTAACCGCCGTATATTTAGGAAAAAAAAACTTCGCACTCTATCAGTATTAACACATACTAAACCACTTACTTGATGGAACTGAGTACAAAAAAGATTAAGACATGTTATAATCGCCCCATTTGGACCCAAGTTGTATTCCTTCATGACTTCTTTATAGTTTACAGTGTCCCTTATGTCGATATTTGCAGGATAAGATACTGTATTTACTGCTGGGTCAAGATTGAGAACATAAGGAAGGACTTTCTTCTGATGCAAATAAGAGACCAAACGCTAAACAATCAAAGAGGCCAAATCCCTAGCATTCAAACATGGAAAATGAGCAACAGGGGAACATAGATTCAAAAGCATTCAACCAACAAACCCTGACGAATGAACTTTTCCCCGATCCGGCCATTCCGAGGACTACGATGCATAACCCCTTGCTGCTTCCATCTCCTGCATCATCTGTAAGGGAAGTCGAGGGCTGTTCACTAACTGGTGCTTCTGCCTGGGCCATCTCAGTCATACGTGTATCTATAAAAGTCCCTCCATTTTGCCTCTTACAAAAATAATTATCAAGACGCAGGCGCCTTACGATCATGCAAAAAATCCACAGAAAGTCTTAGCAGCCCAACAAAACTAGTCTCTTCAAAAATTCATTGATAAATGTCAAACTCATCCACGACCAATAACACTACGATCAGCAAAGTACGAAGCCTCACTGTCACAAGATCTAACACAAAATCTGGTTACAAAGATATCGTGGAAACTAATCAGCCGTGGCCAGGCAGTGAAAATTACAATTAAAATTTTAAGGACTAATTTTTATTTCACAAAACCAATACAATTAAGAATGTAAAATCTAGCTGTAGCAAATGAGCAAGCATTTAATCATATACTGTGATAACAATATGCTACAAGGCCAAGGAAATTAAACCCGTAAACTGAATGATCCTAAAAGACTATCTTTCCTTCACTGACGAGCCAATTCTAACAAACATAAATATACAAATATAACTGAAAAAATTGTTCTTACATGAAAGAGTTTTATAACAAGCTATACAACAGCCCCGTCTGAATTGCGTCAAAGACAAAAAAGAACTAAGCGCAAAATGAAGCTTTCTGCCCCAAAAACGTTACTGACACAGCATTACCAAATACTCTAAAAATAACAAAAACAATACATCAAGTTCCAAAACGTTTTTAAAGCACCGAATGTAACCGTAATTCCACCAGTGGCACTTAGACATCCTGAATATTATTCACACTACGATTTAGCGATGAGCTGTTTCTAGGTCTGAGATCATCTGGGACATCAAGTGAGCTCAAAGAGGATTTGCTGCTCATTGGGCTACGACTCATCTGCTGTTTACGAACAGAGCCAGGGGCACATCCTTTGACAATGCGAAAAGGATTTCTGCTTTCATGTTGACTGGTGATCCTTGGAATTTCCAGAAGATCACATATAAGACCGATCTTAGCAAGTCGAGCCTGTTGCCGCCCCTGTTAAAAGCAGAATTGTCACTGTAAACTAATAAGTACTTCAAACACACGCAGAAACGCATATACACAGCAAATGGTAGAAATAGTAACAAGCTCAAACTTAGCAGAGAAAACTCGGTTTCATAACTCACTGAAAATACACTGAACACACTTCTAAAAAATACGAGGTGTCTTTTCAACTCTAATCCTTACAGCAAAAACGGTTTTGAGACCATATTTCATTTTCCCGCTTTTAAAATCAGAGCAACATTCATCCAACGGGCATAACGGAACTAACTAGTACTATTTCGAACCCTATGATCTACGCGTTTTCATCACCAATACTTCTAGTAGCCACAGCTATACAATGCTAAACTAAAAAATTGTGAAAAATAACAAACAGTTAAAACCTTGGATAATCTTTGCTTAGCAGCCATACATCTAATATGGTCATCGAAAAGAAACTTGGCACAAAGCATTGGTTCACTATTTTTCCGTGACCTAGAACAGACATCGTTCACCACTATGTGGAGCGCACGACTCTCACTTGGATCTCCGGTTAACTGGGTATCCTTAAATTTATATATTATAAACGAAGTGGTACAAACTGGGTAAAAGAAAACAACAACTCTGTGTTGGAATTTAAAATAAAAACTGTTGCTTATTAGGACAATAATACTAGTTAGCCCACAAGGAAGTTAAAAGGAGTGTAACCTGAAGTAACCCTACGAAACGAACCACGCCATAGCAAGGCCTCTTTTTATCTGGTTCAACTAGAATCAGTAGAAGCTGATCCGCTACAAGAAATCTTTGTAAAACCTCCTTTTGATTCAGTACTACTGTACAAGACAAAAGGTCACTGTTGCCTAAAAAGCGAGATAGAAGAGAAATACTTCTGGCATAAACCGCGCTTGGAAATACAGAAATAAACAAAAGGAATCTGGACTTTGCTTCCAAACATTAGAAACCGTTGAAAATACGACTACTCCGACAAAATCACAGACTGACCAAGGTTTATGCAGTCATTAATTTCAGCTGACTGTTCTGTTTTCACTTTCAAGGGTAAGATAGTTTCACTTTCTCCACGCAGATCTAGTATAAATTTCCGCAAGTGCAAGTACAGCAGAATGTCCTGAAAACGTTCAGTTTGGTGCATGCGAAAACAGTGGAAAATGGAAAGTTACAACAACTACCAAATAAAAAATATTACTAGCTTCTTCCACATTTCAATAACGTATTACCATCCGAATTTGTTCCTCACTGCCACTCGGTAGGCGTTTGCTTAACGCAACTCCACTCAAAGAACTATTTGAAGGAGGCAACAAGAGATCGGGTTCAGTACTTATTGATGATAGGCGAAACACATTTCTCTGAAACGTCAGATAGAGCCCTTCAAAACAAAGGTTTTCTGTCCCATAAGACAGGTTGCTATAATTATAATTTCAGTAGTATCATACTTCAAAATCATAATACTCGTCCTCAAACATTTCAAGAAACAACTCCTCCGAATATACAGCGGCAGAGAGACTGCGTACCAAAAGAGACCGAGCATCTGTAGCAACTTTATCACACTGCGCATGAACTTCCGAGTCAGGATCCGTATCAAGCAGCAAACGCCTTAACAATATGCAGCATAATTCCAAGGTCACCGGGCGAACAGTCCTTCCTGCAGCAAGTTACGAATAACACCAGACAATTATAAAATTCAATATATACTGGAAAAAAGCATAGTTCAATTAAAGTAAAATGTAAAAATCACCTTTGTTAGCTGAAGCAGTTAAAATCCCAAATAATGCAGCCATCAGGTTTGCTTCGCCAGAAGAACTAGAGTTTGGTTTGATCTGAGCTGCTTCTAGTATCTCATCCATTACACCTGAAGAGATTAACCAAGACGTACGCAACAGTGACCATTAACACTGAGGTTCAACACAAAACTCTGTTCGACTACATTCACTTGATCACAAGTAAACTGAACAAAGGACATGCAGAACGCACTTTACTTAACAAAACCATTCTCATTATTTACTAAACCGGTCATCCTGACCAAAAATGAAGCATTCACCAAAGAAAGTTTGAATTATTGCACGCAGCAAAAAAAAAAA